AACTCAAAAAAAAAAAAAAGAAAGTGCATCAAGGACGGCCGGGAGCCATGGCGACTGCCTGTAATCCCAGCACTTTGAGAGGCCAAAGTAAGAGGACTGCCTGAGCCCAGGAGTTTGAGACCAGCCTGGGCAACTTGGCAAAAGCCTGTCTGTACAGTAAATTTTAAAAATTCACTTTGGGAGGCCAAGGCGAGTGGATTGCCTGAGGCTGTGGGTTTGAGACCCACCTGGGCAACTTGGCAAGACCTGGTCTCTACAATAAATCAACAATTAGCCGGGCATGGTAGCGCGCGCCTGTAGTTCCGATTACTTGGAAGGCTGAGGCGGAATGATCGTCGGAGCCCATCAGGTCGAGGCTGCGGTGGCCGGGAGCGGGAGCGTGCCACTGCATTCCAGTCTGGGCAACAGAGTGAGACTCCAACTCAAAAAAAGAAAAACCAGCTGGGCTCGGTGGCTCAGCCTGTAATCCCGCCTTTGGGAGGCTGAGATGAGTGGATTGCCTGAGCCCACGGGTTTGAGACCTGCCTGGGCAACTTGGTGAGACCTGATCTCTACAATAAATCAAAATGAGCCGGGTGTGGTAGCACGCACCTGTAGTTCTAGCTACTCGGAAGGCTGAGGCGAGAGGATCGCCGGAGCCCAGCAGGTCAAGGCTGCGGTGGCTGGGAGCGGCCACTGCACTCCAGTCTGGGCGACAGAGTGAGACTCCAACTCAAAAAAAAAGAAAATTAGCTGGACGTGGTGGTGCACACCTGTGGTTCCAGCTACTTGGAAAGCTAAGGCGGAAGGATCGCCTGAGCCCAGTGGGTAGAGGATGCCATGGCCGAGATCATGCCACTGTTCTCCAGCCTGGGTGAGAGTGAGACTCCAATTCCAAAAAAAGAAAAAAGAAAGAAAGTGCTTAAAGGAGACTGATCGGCCATCTGCAGTGCACAATTCTCCTTTCCAGAAGCCCACTCTGAACCTCACCTCCTCTGGATGTCAGGATGGAGTGCCAGGTACGTGCGCACCTTGGCTTGGGGAACTCACTCTCGTTACACATTAACACAGTCCTCAAGTTGGAATTTGAAGGAGGACAAAGTTAAGATGTTCCGGTAGAGGTTTCCGAGTTATTTCTAAGCCATAAACATTCTTGGCAGCCTCATCCCTTGCGGGGGCTGAAAGCCAGGCAGCCTGGTACAAAAGCCCCCAGGTTTTTACGCATGACAGACCTAGTTCTAACCCATCTCTCCGTCCTCAGCTGTGTGACATGGATGAGACACTCGCCCTCTGTGGTCTCAGCTTCCCACCCTAGAGTGGGCAATCCTCTGAGGTCTGTAGGACTCTGTGCCAGTCAAGCCTCAGTTCCCTCCCCTGCCACATGTTACACGGGGATGGCAAGAGGATCAAGAGACCACACAGGCAAGTGCAGCTTGGCACTTAGCATTCAAATAGAGGCCACGACAAGCCAGCGAATGTCTCTCTCCTGGACCATGGTACCCACTCTGAACTCTGACTCAGAAGCAAGATCCAAATTCTGGCTGGGGAAGGGACAGTCCAGGGGCAGCTCCCTGCCCCCAGTGCCTCAGGTCACATCACAGCAGCTGGGTGTATGTCACTGTTTTCAGGGAGAGGAGGATGAGCAAATCCCATTACACACCCAAGGGTCCCACCTGCCCCAGAACCGTATGTTAAATCTCCCCTCATTGGCCGGGCTCGGTGGTGCAGCCTGTAATCCCAGCACTTAGGGAGGCCGAGGCGAGTGGATTGCCTGAGCCTGAGGGTTCTAGACCTGCCCGGGCAACTTAGTGAGACCTTGTCTCTATAATAAATAAAAAATTAGCCAGACATGGTGGTGCGTACCTGTAGTTCTGGCTACTTGGAAGGCTGAGGTGGAAGGATTGTTGCAGCCCAGCAGGTCGAGGCTGCGGTGGCCAGGAGCATGCCACTGTACTCTAGTCTGGATCACAGAGTGAGACTCCAGCTAAAAAAAAAATCTCCCCTCATTGAAGTATCTCATATGTTGAGGGGCATCAGGAGTTGGGGGGGTCACAGCTCCCCATTCCACACTCTGTTCAGCCTCAACAAGACTTTCCCCACACTGATTTTTTTAAATTTGTTTAAAGAGACAGAGGTCTCTTTATATTTCCCAGGTTGGTCTGGAACTCCTGGCCTCAAGCAATCCTCCCACCTCAGCCTCCCAAAGTCCTGGGATTACAGGTGTAAGCCACCGTGCCTCATCATCACATACCGATGTTTTAACACCCCACACTCTCCTGGTTCTTTGCCAAGAGCTTTCCTCCTATTTGCATGAATTTCACAGCAATACAGGGAAATAGCAAAGGCAGTGTCTAGCTTAGTGGGTGCTTAAGAAAACCTTGCAGCCGGGCTTGGTGGCTCAGCCTGTAATCCCAGCGCTTTGGGAGGCTGAGGACTGCCTGAGCCCGTGGGTTCGAGACCCGCCTGGGCAACTTGGCGAGACCTCATCTCTACAATAAATCAAAAAATCAGCCGGGCATGGTAGTGCGTGCCTGTAGTTCCAGCCACTTGGAAGGCTGAGGCAGAAGGATCGCCGGAGCCCAGCAGGTCGAGGCTGCGGTGGCCGGGAGCGGCCACTGCACTCCAGTCTGGGCGACAGAGTGAGACTCCAACTCAAAAAAAAAAGAGAAAAAGAAAATGGTCCTTCTAGGGCTCGAACCTATACCACCCCTTGCCTTCAGAGGCAAATTAGAATTAGGTAAGGAGCACAAGCTCTGACATGAGTTGATTTGATTTCAGCCTCTCCCAGGTACTGGCCGTGACCTTCTTAACCACTTCACCTCTCTGAGCCTTCCCTTCCTCATCTTTCTCATTAGGGTTGAGGCACAGATCAAAAATTAAGTGTAGAAAAATGCCCAACACACAACAGGTGCTCAGCGATGGCACAGCTGCCCCAGTCCTTCCACAACACTACTCAGCAGGTGGTGAACTTGCTGTGTGACCTTGGGTAAGGTGACTCCCCTCTCTGAGCCTCAGTGTCATCATTTGTAAGATGACTCCCTTAAACACACCCATCAGATGCCTCAGCATCCCTGGGCCCAGTCCCCACAGGCCTGAGCTTTGGTCACACTCACACCTGCCACACCCTTCCTCCCCAGGGGTAGTCCCACCAGGCCACATACCTTAAAGCCTTCTCGGGTCACCTGGCCCTTCTGAAAGTTCTTCATGAACTCAACATTTTCTGCCTGGGTATGCACTTCCTTAGTGGCCTCCTTCAGGGCCTCTGATAAATCCTGAGGCATGCTGCAGAGGAAAAGGAGGCAGTGTGATCAGGAACTGGTTCTGGGCGGGGTCTTTCCCAGATGCTGAGCCTGGGGTGCCACCTGCCTGGTGGAGGGTCCTTAGAAGACTGCCATCACTTTAAGATGCAGCCCTGGCTGGGCTCAATGGCTCAGCCTGTAATCCCACGCCTTTGGGAGGCTGAGGTGAGTGGATTGCCTGAGCCCGCGGGTTCGAGACCCGC